AGCCCGAGAGGCCACCCCTCCTCCGCAGAGGAACGGTTCACCTCATCTTTCAGCCGGAACTTCGCATTCACCGGGTGGGTCGACAGGGCCGAGTCCACGTATGGTCCGCAGAGGTGAGAACGGTTTCCACCCTGATATTCCCTTTACAACGCTCAACAGGAGTTTTATGTTACAAACACAAACTCTTCTTTATTTCAAATAGATTTTATGTGATTAGGCAGCATGAAGTTACACAACTATAAATTAAAAAGAAGAACATTTCTGTTTTTTAACATGTTAAGAAATTTTTTTAAGGTGCTTGGATATATTTGGTGTACCAATTAGCCCAAAATGAACCTTAATAGTCAGTAAGTTGTGATCAGAAGTGAGAAAACAAACACAAAAATAGACATTCACCAAAATGGTCAGTCTACCACCAAAAAGGGTTTGCCACAGACCTTATAGAAGGCATAGGAAAGTGCAACACAAGGTGTTTGGTTAGATTTGATTTTAATTGCAAACGTGCAAAACAGTTTGGTTAAGAATTAACAAAAATCCCCTTATTCTGCATGCATTTCTCCGGTAAACAGGGCAGTGGCAGCAGTCACTTGTTGTGAGGATCCTTAGGTGGGAAGCAGGTCTAAGTTAATGTGAAGGATGGAGCCATGCATTGGCCAGATGTGGAGGTAAACCAGTAGGAGAAAACAGATGTTTACCTTCCATTAGGATAGTGGCCTTTAACACAGTTATACAAAAGGCTATTCATATGTTAGAATGGCTCAAAGTGCAGACTTGAATCTTATTGTTACTTGAATCACTGTAAATAGAAGCACTTTGTTCAGTGACTTGCCGCCCTTTATCTTACATAGTTGATCAAATGAGTTCTCTAAATGTGCAAAGGTGGTAGAGACACACCCCATAAGTCTTACAGCTGCACTATATATGCTGTTTGTAGTATCATACTGCTGGTTTGCTTTTCTTAATTAAGGGAAACGTTTTAATTTTGGTAAGATTAAAAACAAGTCCTCAATACCAATATTTCAGAATGTTATTTGGAAAAAAAAAATAATTGATTTGTATGTAAATTGTCACTAAAATGCACTGAAGGTCTTTTGAGGTTGTAACCTATAATAGTTTAAGGGGGGTTATTTCAATCTTTCTGATCTTCTGCTTCTAAGGCACCAAAAAGCAGGCCCCAGCTCCACCCAAAGTGGCCAGCCCATATGCTTCTCAGTCCAGCAGCCCTCAGCCACCCGGCTCTCCTGGTCACCCCCCCCTCGCCACTCGTCGTCACTCCAGCAAAGATTTCATCCATGCCCCGAGCCACCCACCACCACAACCTCCTCAAACCCAGCACCCCCCTCAGGGAGACACAGAGCCCTCTCCCCCAAGAACTCCCACACCTCCTGATACTCCGCCACCATACGCCACCGGATCTCTGCCTCGCCCCGCCAGGCCTGCCCCGAAGCCGAGGATTCGACCCAACATGCCGCCGCCACCACAGCCCACAGCTAACGACAGTGGTAATGGCCTCATGAACTCTGCGTCCAAAATTATAACAGGTAAAAAAAAAAAAAAAGATTCCAGGGGTTCAGAAGCAGAATATAAAATCCTAAAAAACAACCAACAATATAAATCAAAAAAGGTAGCAAAGGAAAGTTCACTTAATTTATCAGACAGACATTATTTACATCAAACAGATTAATTGCAGGGTTGTCTATTTACAATCAGAATATCAGAAACTTTTTAAGCCAAATGTGTTTAGTTTGTCGGATTGTTAACATTATTCCAGATGCATGTTAATAAGGATATTTGGCTCATTAAATTTCATTCAAGTTTATTCAGCTCTAGGAATTGTAATGCAATCCATTTTCTTTTTGGTTCATGTTGAACAGAAGAAAACAACATCTCCAGCCTTGTTTTTATTTTTTGTTTCAGTGACCTTTTCCCTCCCCCTCCTCTTGTCCGCTGATAACCATCTGTAGCTTCCTCTTAGGGCGCTGCTGTTTTTAGACCTCTGGCTTCTTCTTCTGGTTTCACTGTCTCGATTTGTGTCACACTAAATGGAACTGTGGTGATCTAAAGCATGACAGGAAATGTGTGTAAACATTGCAGATGTCTGAGCTGCCGGCCTGCCTGTAAGATGAGCTTTGCCGGGCAGGTGATGGTAAGGTTCCCGTTGGCTGGGTGTATTGGCCAGTTTTGCTGCTTTTTGTTTGTGTGTCTTTATGGGGAAACCAACTCAAGCTCTGTTGTATGTTTAATAAATGTTACATAGATAAAGTGCATTTCACTAAATTAGGTTATCATTGGAAGTTTACTTTGATTCAGTAATTCGATTTGAAAAGCGAAGCTCATATTTATTTATTTAGGTGGTAAGTAGGCAACTTAAAATGATTTAGTCTTATTTTAGTGAAATTTGGCTTATAATTTTTGAATACATAAAAAAGTTTCTCATAAAATCAAAATATCATATTAAAGACATAAAACAAAACTCTGTCTACAATTTGACTGGAGTATCCATGTTTGATATGCAGCTTTTATACTAATAGTTTTTTTTATCCTTTTCACTAAACTTTCTATGGAAATGTTTTGACATGTCACCCTGAACAAGCATCTTTAACATGAAGCTTATACCCATTGCTGCCAAGTCAGCAGCCTTCCTCATCATTGTGTGGACTTAATTATTTATTTACCATAACTATTTATTAGAAATCAACATAAGAAAACAATTGTGCAACAAAGTAAAATCATGTAATCTTTCTCAATGAAAATTTTAATGATGTGAAAATATGTGAAAACATAACTGTTTCCCTGTAAGCAAAACAGGGATCGTGGCAGAAAGCTAACTGTGCATCACTTTGATTATCGTATGCACAGGGAAGCATGGTGGTGGCAGCATCATGTTGCGGGAGGCCGTATAGCAGGGACTGCAAGCTCCTCATAGTTGATGGGATATATATAGCTGATGTAAAATATTGAGCAATTCCAAAAAATGAAAAATAAAATATCTTTTCAGCTGCAAAAGACTTTTGTTTTTTGCAAGGAAGAAATAACTTCCACAGTTTTAAGGCAGCAAAGAGATAAACTTTGTAATGATAATCAAATTTAATGAAATGCACCTGTATGTTTGTCTGATGGCATGTTTTTAATGCATTTGTCTGCACCTAACATGCTTGCATTTAGGTTTAGCTTGGACGGATGTGTCTGCTAACAGTTTGCTGTGTTAACTAACATGCTTCTAAACAGGTTTTTTTGTGGCTCTTGCACAGACATGTGCAAAATGGTTTGTTGCATTTACAGATTAACACACCAAGGAAACTTTAAAAGAAACATCAAGATTGATTATTTAGCAGAATTGACGACTTTTACATCGCAGAGGAGTCCTTGGTGTCTTAAAGAGTGTGGAGTTTGCAGTGATATGTGTGTGTGTGTGCAGCTGTTTTCTCTATGTCATGATGTGTTTGCTAATTTTTCCCTATGGGGTGTTTTTATTATTTTTTTTATTTTTGTAGAAGGAGGCCTGCTTTTTAAGGGGATTGGAAAAGCTTTTATCCCCAAGGTGATTGAGGAGCAACAAGTGGAGGACTCTGCTGGTCAAGAGCCCATCTCCACCCCGGAACCAAACCTTCACATCGAGACAGAGAACACTCCCCTGTAGAAGATGCTCCAGCTTCAGTCATTAACCGAAGACAGGGTTAAACCTTCATGATGCTTTTTCTTTTTTGTCTGCTGTACGGAGTTGAACCAGAAGCCTTGTTGTACAGCGGTGGCTTAAACCACAACAATGTTGTGCTACCATCGCTTCCAACATTGAACTTTTTTAGCTGCGTGTTCTTCCGAGTGTTCAGAGATTGGGTTTCAGAGCCACGGCCTAAAGAACCTCAATTTTATTGCAGCTTAAGGAAAGAAAAAGGGTGCTGGAAAAATCTCACTTTTTTTTATACCTCTCTTCTTTTTACGCCAAAGTGTCAAAGCTAGAAATTATTTTGCAGACAAAAATATGAGTGCGGTTTTAGCTGTGTTTTATAATTTTTTTTTTTAAATGTTGATGAGGAGATTAGAATTCAATCTGCCACCTATTTATAATAAAACTAAACTGCATTTTCACTTTCCAATTTCTGCAGATTCATCACACCTAATGTGATGTTGACACCATGCAGGAAGGTATCGAGAAATGCCTAAAGGACCCAAAGATAGCTTTGACTTTAGCGCATATTTAGAGTTGCAGTGACCAAATACTTTGGGAAGGGTGCAATAAGAGATGCAGTTGTCTTCCACTGATGCCGTGTTCAGAGTATATTGCTGCATGTTGCGAGTAACACAGGTTAAAGTTGATTGTTTAATTTTTAATCAGGATTTTATTTGATGTCTGCTAAACTGATTTTTAAATGGAAAGGTCCTATTTGATGCTTTAAGTTTTATGGTTGAAAGGGACAATCTTCATCTTTTTGTAACTAATCACTCCTAAGATCAAAGCTCAATACAGGAGAAAAAAAAAATTAAAATCCTTTTTTGTGAATTATTTTTTTTCTCTAGTTGTCTTGTCTTTTCTCTGATTCTTCAGCCTACAAACCATCGTTACTCTTTATAATTATTACTGTATACAATTATTTTTAAATTAAAGAAGCTTTTATAAATTACTTTTATTTTACTTTTATTTTTGCAAACATGTATAATATTCGTGTAAAATTAGAAGAAAAAAAAACAACAAGCCAACAATAGATGTAAATTCATGAGATTGTTTGTATAGGTTTAATTTTAATAAAATGAAGGGAGCTAACCTGCTATAAAACCAATGAAATCTGCACATAATTCAATCTATTTTATGGAGATTGGAGGGGCTTTAGTCTTAGGGGCAGTTGTGGCTAAATGGAAAGAGTTGTTGTTTTGAAGTCAAACCAAGGTTGTTGGTTTGATTCCAGCAATTCTTTTTAATCTGCATCTCAGCCCCAGGCTGAGAACCCAATCATATGCTGGTGAAGTATTTTTGACTCTGACCAAGTGTGGTTCTGATTAAGTATGTCTGGAAAAGAGATCTATGATTTAAGTCAATTTATCATCCCAGCACAAACTAAACTATGATTATGAAGTTGGAAGAAAATAATGTAGTTTATTTTTATATTTTTTATATAAATTAACATCTGACACAGTTTGCATCTCATCCAACTAGACAGAATTTGTCCAATATCATGTTAAATAGAATTTTCTTGCATTATCTTCTTTCATATCTCTGTAGATTCCCTGTATTTAATGGAAGAAAGGATTGAAGCTACCTAGTTAGGCACTGTTAGCTACCTTCTAACTTGGCTCCAACAACTTTTTAGGCCAAACCTGCTTGCCTTGTCTTCATACTGCTGATGTTCTCAAATGTTATCTAACACATTTCTGAGGCCTTCGCAGTACAACTAGATTTGTACTGAGATTAAATTATACCCTGGTAGTTTCTGCTTACTGTTTAATTGGTTTATATTGGATTCAATTTTGGATTTTCAGAGCGAGAAGTGGGAAAACATGTTCCACTTTAAAACCCCCCAAAGCTAACATAAAATGCATGAAAGTCTTGAGTTACATCCTGAAAAAGTCTGTGGGGCAGGAACATTTTGGAAGTCATTGTATGGCTCTTCTTTGGTCAAGCCCAGTAGCCGATGATGAAGACGGTTACAGAGAGGCAGAAGATGAGGTTTGTATTGACGAGGTGTCTGTAGCTCGGCTTTTCATCCAGAGTGCAGATGATCTGCTCGGTTGCAGAGGGAGCTGGAATGTTGCTGTCTGCCTCCTTTCGCCTCTCCATCCCACACAACCAGTAGATGGCAGACATGAACCTGGACTGACTGGGAGTGCTGGACTCAGATGAAGCAGAATCTGTAGAGTTTTAGTGATAAATGCTGTTAACAGGGCAGACTGAAAGGAAAGGGATCAAGATGCGTGGAAAAGGAATACCTCTCCTTTGAGGGCATGCTTGTCCGTTTCTGCTCTCTGCCTCTCTCCCTGGATGTCTCTGCTCCACTGAGATCACTTCTTCTTTTGGCATCACTGGATCAAACCTTGTGAACCAAGTGAGACGACTTATCTGTTTGAAAAGTAGACCAGTTAGGCTCTGCATCACTTATTGTCACCTAGTGGTGCTACAGGCAAATATTTTGTTTTTACATGGATGGAAACAGAGACAACCAGCAGAGAAAAAGCTGCTGCTTCACCTGCTCTGGACTGGGCTCCTCAGTGGCCAGGCTAACTGCAACCACCACAACCAGGGTGATGAAGGACAGCAGCGTGGAGAAGTAGAGGTAATGGACGTATTTCAACACACTGGGCCTGTCGTCCTTCTCAAAGCACATTGGTGCAGGGTAGATGAAATCCAACAACATGCGTATGCAGCCGACTGTCAGACCAATGGCGAGACCCCAGAATGCACCCTGCATGACAGAGGACTCTGTGAAAACATCCGATTAGGAGGGCTCATATGTAAATGCACCCCAAAGATGAAGCTCCTTACTTTCTCATTAGCCCTCTTCCAGAAGCAACCCATGAGGAAGACTATGCTGACAGGGGGCTGCAGGTAGGTGCTGATGGACTGGATGTAGATAAAGAGCTGGCCTCCCTGACTGGCCTGGACAACAGGAATCCAGAGCACTGACACCACCACCAGGACGAGCACAAACAGCCTGCAATGTGCAGATTTGGTTTATGTTACATAATCTAAGTATTGCAGTATTGTTAAACTGCACATTTGTAAAGTTGCTTTAGAAGTACAATCTATGTAGAGGTATTCATACCATTTGAACCTTATTACATTACCACAAATATATGTGTGTATTTTATTGGGAGTTTAGACAAAATAGAGCATAGTTTTACATTGAAAGAAAAACTTTTGTTTTTGTTTTAAGTGCCACTGAATCAATACTTTGTGGAACCACATTTTACTCCAATTACAGCTGCAAGTATTTTTCATTAATTATTATTTGCAAAGCAGCTTAAACTGTGTTTGAATGTAATATAGCTGATAGTGTACATTTTCAAATATTACCCCAGATTCTGAAGGCTTTAACGAGGCCATTCTAACAAATTAATATTTTATAATCAAATTAATTTTGTTGTATATATCGCTGTATTTCTAAGGCTGTTGTGTTGCTATTATGTGAATCTCTTCCCCAGTTTCAAATCCTCTAAAGCGAAAATGCTTGCCCTCTATTTAGCCACGATAAATCGTCTCATCACCTGTGACTATCTTCTTAGTACCTGCTACTGAAAAGTATGCACACTGCATGATGCTACTACCATCATGTTTTTATAGTAAAGGTAATCTGTTTATAACGATATGCAGTTTTACTGCAAATCCACATTTTATTTAATAGCGTGGGAGTAAAAGGGGCCTCAGTTTTTAAATTTTCTTTAGTAAAAGAAACTTAAAAACTTTGAATTACTCCATGACTGGGACTTTCATGGGAAAAATTAAACCAGTAAGGTTTAATATTCTGCAGAACCTCTTATGTCCAAGCTATCATATCTTTAAAATAGATATGGGGACAAATGTTAAAAATAGATTTACAGAGATCCAAAAATTGCTTTTCAATCTTTTCTGAAAATGATGTAGAATATGTTAATACTTTGAGGCTCTGTCCTTGATGTAGGCATCATACCTCCCTACTATCATGAGCTCCCATTCCGAAGCATGAGATCTAAAGCTCTTCCATAAGTCCATAGTAAAAATGGTACTGGAGCTGTTGAAGATGGAGGTCAGAGAGGACATAAGAGCAGCAATCATCACAGCCATCATGAGACCTCGGAGTCCTGAAAAGGAAGATATGCAAGAAGGAGACATGTCTCCAGTGTTTACAGAAAAGTAAAACATACCGTCATAAAAGGGAAACCGAGTCAGGGTCTCACCTGCAGGGAGAAGCTCCATAACCAGTTTGGCATAAGCAATGTCTGAACAGCCCACTGAGTTCTCACAAATCTGTTCGCACAGGTCAGGGTCTGCGCAAGCCACCTCATCTATATACAGTATCATACAGTAAAAAAAAAAAAAAAAAAGAAATATTCAGACTGATCCTATAAATCCCAATCGGTACCTGTGTAGAGGATCCTGCTGATCATCCCAGGGAGCATGATTGCAAAGAAAGGAAGAACCTTCAAGTATGCTGCCAGGAGAGAGCCCCCCTTAGCATGGGTCAGAGTCTTAGCAGCCAGAGAGCGCTGCACAATCACCTGCAGAGAACCAAGGGACCTCTCATTTTCCAGGTTTTGGTGAATGAGTAACTAAGATCTTTATTGAGACAGTCTATTTAGTCCGAATCTGAATGGGAACTGTAATCCTGTAACTCAGTGTTGTCTCTTAACTGATAAGACGGTAAATGATCAGTTAAACTACATGTGCATTCTTCTCTTAGGTTACTGCTTCTGTGAAGTGGAAAATTTTTGAACGGCAAAATATGCAAACAAATCATTGTGGTAGAATTTTTTCTGAATAATACTGAAAATTCAGGAGAAACGTACAGTATGACGCATAAATAAATAAAAAAAAATCTTCATTTACTATTTTAAAAATAAAAAAAAGCCTCATTTTTTCCGAGTCAAAAAGTTACATGATTTTCAAAGATGATTTTTATGTTCCAGGCACTTGGTCTTATTTATTTGCTCAAAACAAAAACAAACAAAAAACAAAGAAAAAATCTATTTAAATGCTGCAAATATATTTTACATACTTTACCATCTGACTTGACTGTATTTATCCTCCCTTCATGCATTATACCTCTGCAGTACATAAAAATGGGTTTGGACTTTGTGATGCTGTAATTTCTTCTGACAACAAATAAAAGATATCCTGGCATCATAAGAAAAGACTTAAAGCTGCAAGTTTTACTTTGTCCCAACATTACTGAAAATATTTCAAGCTGTACAGTAAGGGGTCACTGTATTCATGCGGAAAACATCTCTTTTTTTTTTACTGAAGAAAAAATCCTAAAACTACATGTAGATTACTTTACTATAAAGAAATGTAAATATTTTTTAAAAATGCCATCACAATAACAATGTGTGCAATACTGCGATTTAACATTGTTCATGGCTTTGATGCTAAAGCTAACAGACTAGGGTGCAGAAATCATTATAAAGGAGAAGGAAAGAGAAAAGGTTTCTTGTAACCAATATTTTGAAAAAGTAGGTTAATAATGTGACCCTGTTGATTTAAGCTATTTTTTTAACTTACTTTTTTTTTTTACTCTAAAGACCTGCATTTATTACTGAAGCGACATAGAGGATTCACTTAAAGCCCAGTTACACACAAGATTCCTTAGATTTTAATTGTATGTTACTTTTATCCCTGTCAAATTATGTTTTTTTTTATTGGTTTATAATATATAATTATAAAATAGATTACAAGTAAAAGACAAGTTTCTAACATTGCCTTATTCTTAAAAAATGTGAAAAAGGTTTTTGTAAATAACTGTATGCTTGAATGATTCCAGAATACATCAGTATTTGTTGCAGTACCTGATCAGAACACCAATACCACATGGAGGGGATGGACATGCCGATGATAACACCAGGCCAGGGCAGGTCTGAGTTCACCGGGTCTCTAAATATGTGAAAGGCATCATCTCGAGGGATGCCACAGGTGGAGTTAGGCACAAGGACTGAGGGAATGGCAGTGAAATATCCTTCCATCAGAGCGTCCCAACCTCCGACCTCAGCAAAACCTCAGAGTGGAGAAAAAAAAAAAAACAGTCTGTGAAACATAAAAAAACTAAGAGGTTAGAAAATGATATGATCTGTGAAATCACACTTACTGAAACCCATAAGGGTGAGAGCTCCTCCGAGCATGATTGCTGTTTGAGCTGCATCAGTGTAAATAACTGCAGCAAGGCCACCTAGAACACAAAATAAAGCACTTTATGCAGCTGGTAAGGAGCAGAAGAATGCATTTTACAGAATGTGATGGAGGAAAAAGGTTCACCTGCTATTGTGTAGAGAGCAGTCACTGCTAGCAGCACCACTACAGCCAGATAGATATTCCATTGTAAAGCAAGCTTAATGAATACAGCTCCAGCATACATATCTACCTGAGCGCAGCACAACAACAGATTCAACAATATCAATTTATACGTTCAGATTTTTACAATTTATCGGCAAAACACATCAAATCCTTTTGGATTCATGACATACAGATATTTTTGTAAAGATGTAAACAAACAGGTACAAGATTGCTATAAATAGCTGGGTTCTTCTTCCCCCGAAGCGCTTCTGCAAATATTCAGGCATGGTTGTCACCTGCAGAAGACAGATGTTAAGAATTATTTTCACAATGAAAGATGGAAAAAACCTTTAAAATTTGTTGTTTTTTTTGTGTGTGTGTGTGAAAAATTCACCCCAGAGGAGATATAAATGGGCAGGAAGAGCCATCCAAGCAGCAACACCATAAACATTCCCTGTTTGTTTTTAACAAATATTGAGACGTTAAAATGGATAGTAGCTCAGATTTTCTTTTTTGCATTAAATAAAATCTCTTACGTTCCATTCATAGGCTATTGCTCCAATTCCTGCAGCAGCTCCTGACCCGGCCAGACCAATAAAATGTCCGCTGCCAATGTTGCTGGCAAACAGTGAAGCCCCAACCTAAATTTAGAGGAGGAAAGGGGGATCTAGATCAACTTGACCTGCTCCTTTTAGAAGAAAACAGTTCTTCTCTGTTGGGGACTAAAGAAAACTGCGGCATAAAAGTGATTTTACATTATTTACCTCATAGTTTAATTAGAAAATCAGTCTTAGATCTTTTTATCCAAAAAAGACTTTATGGTGTTATACTTACTGGCCACCAGGTCATACTCTTGCCAGCTAAGAAGTATCCATCCACCGTACTGCGCTTTGTCCTCCACATGGACTAATAAAAAGAAAATAGGTTAGACTAAGTCAAGAGGAAATCATTTTGTGTTTGGTACCCTTACTGAATAAAAAAATGTTTTTATTCACCTTAATGAGAATAAATACAGACTCAACATATACTATTCACATTTTGTCACTTTGTGACTTTTTTAGGGTGACGGTGGCCAAGGATATGGAGTTTCTCATGTAATTGGAGGGTTGTCGGGTCAAGCCCGCATTCCGCTTGTCTCTATTTTTAGGCAAGGCACTTTACCCACATTGTTTGATCAGAGGGCCCAGAGGCGCTGGTTTTGTGTTAGCCTTATTTCTGTCAGTCTGCAGATGTACCTTACCATCATCAGTGTGTGAATAAGTGAATGGAGTGTAAAGAGTTTTGAAATCCTTGTTCTTGATAAAGAGCTATAGAATTACAGACCATTGGCCAGTTTACCGTACCTTATAAACTATTAACTTTGTCCATCCTGTTTAGATCCTGTATAGATGTAAGATGTGGCTTAAACCAATATATTAATATCTCTGGCTGCTTTCTTTTAAATTAGGCACTTATTCTTTTAGGAAAAAAAATTTTTTATACTGTACAACTTATAAGAAAAAATTAAGCTTATCTTTTTCTTCAAAGGCGAGGAAACTAGCTTGTAAAAAGCTGAAATGTATTTGATTTTAATCATATTTAATTCAATAGTAGAGCCAGTTTATGTCCAAAGATGGTTTGTTTAAAGACTGTTTTCCCGTTGGTTTATTTCAAGTTTAAATTGGTAATTTCACATGCACAATTTGTGCTATTTAATTATAAAAAAAAACATTTATTCAGTAACACATTAATTCTAATATGTATTAATTTCACATTTTTAATAAACCTTGACAGATTTGGGTTAAAACAAGTTTTCAACTTTTGTTAATGCATACATTTTATGCACAGACAAATATTACACCACATGAACAAGATAAGGTTGTTATTATAAACTCTTTAATCATGTGGAAAAAGGCTATTAGCCAAGATAAAATTTCCTGTTTCACACCTGATTTGTCTATTTTTAGACTTTTATCAGTTAGAATGGACAGGCAACACAGACTGTTACTCATACTTTAAAGCTAGATAAACTTAAGAATGGTTGCAAATGGATAGGCTGAAAAAGAGAGATAAACACTACTGATAAAAACCAGTATGGTTCAGTATGTTAACAAATAAAGGTTGTATATTGAACCTTTGGATATCACTTATAGCAGAAAGCCAGTTAGTTATTATATACACTGGAGAAAATCTAAATCTAAATAAGTATTTTTATCTTAAAATAGTGCATTTGTTCTTGAATTGAGGAGGTAAGTGAGAACAAGATCATTTACATATACCGTAAGAAAAAAACAATTGCATTGTCTTATTTCAAGTGCATATTATCTAATTATCTTATTTTAAGTACAAATACTCATTTCATTGGTAAATCATCTTATTTACCTACTAAAATTATGGGTAAATACACTTAATTTAAACATTTTTATTTTTAGATCGTTATTGCAGTATACGAGTAATTTTTCTGCTTCTTACCCAGAAACCAACAGCCAGCACCAGTAGAAAGTAGACAACCAGGACTACAATATCCACAGTAACCAGTGTCTTGCCCCCCAAAGGAGGTTTCTGAGTTGGAGTCATGTTGGTCGTTGGTGTTCCTTCAGCAGCTCTTTGCATGTAAATCATCTGGAAAGCATAAAATGCGACAAAGTTTGCTTCATGTTGAAAAAAGAGAACAACACTTGCTTTTGAACAAAAGAAACAATGGATTTCCTTATATTTAAACGTCATCCCATATGGTATGGTATTCAGCATCTTTAGATGTACGTATATAAAGGTGCTTTGTTTTATTTGCTTCTTTTTACTTCCTGTAAGCACGATCTGACATTCAAATATTTAAAGCCATCAGACATTTTAACATTTTTCTCACTGCAGAAATCATAGTCTGTAAAATGGGGTCCCCTTTTTCAAATCTATGCCATAAAAGCAAACATTAACTTCAATCTTAGGTGTTTTAAGAGTGATAACAGCGGCTGTTCCACAAGTTACATCACCATCTTTATCTTTCAGTGTTTTAGATGTTTTAATGTTAAATAAACTCACCTTTCAGTAATTTGTCCAGCAGTCTCATACCACCTGGTCCGTACTGTGTCGAAACAATATACCATGTCACCAATAACCTGAAAACATTCCCAGTAACATGACTCTTGTCTTGAATCCTCCTCAACACATCATCAGGTTCAAACTCCACTTTCTCCACATGCACAACAAGGTTTAGTTAAAATGTAAGAGATTTATTACACCTCACAAGGAGGCGTGTGAAAGAGCTTCCACATGTCAGTAAACAGCTGAATGATTGCTGTAAAAGGTTCAAATTCATCCAAATTAGTCAATGAGAGGAATTCAAAGCAGGATAAGTGGAATAGCCATCCAAGTTCAAATCAGTAGTGATGAAAAAGGGGACCTAAAATCCTGTTAATGTGAAATTCTGCAGATAAACTGCTTGCAGGTGTAAAGAAACGAGCAGAAAAGTTAAAAGGCTGCTAACGCACACGTGTCCATTCTTTTCGGTGTAACACTACTACAGAAAAATCAAACCAAAACAGCCTTCATTCAACGCTTTATCATTGTTTGCATTTATTTATCACAATAAAAAATACAGTTGTAATTTTTTAAAGAGTTTCAATAGAGAGTAGGGCTTTAAATACAACATTCTGTCACCAAGCAAAAACAGCATATATTACTTTATCACTTAAAAATAGCATTAACGGCTATTAAAACATTTCCTTCCACAGTTGCATTCAAACAGTTAAAACTAAGGTAGGCAGTTATATACAGGTCCTTGCAAAAATCTAGACCCCTTGAATTTTTCCCCATTTTGTCATGTTAAAACAAACCAAAAATATAATTTGACAAACACAAACACATGAACATGATTTATTTTTTTGTCTTTTACATTTTTGTAAATAAACATATAAAATGGGCCTTCTTTATCATCATATAACTGTTAAACATCTGCTGTGTGCCATAAATTAATAGTGCATCAAAGATCAGATGAGAAAAGAATTTATCTTTTTTAACCCATACCCGGAGTTATTATGGAAATGTTAAAAACATTTAAAGTTGGAAGGGTCTAGTCAAACTGGGACCAAAATCCAGTTAGATTTGATGTTTAGCAAGTGCTGCCCATCCAAAATGAGGGAGGCTGAGCTATTTGGCAAAGAACAAAAATGCAAAACTGACTAACAGTGGCAGCAAATAAATTTGTGCCACACTTTTTTATGTGAAAATACAAAATACTTTCTACTTCTCAGTTATGCACTACCTTGTTTTAGTATGTTTTATAAGGTCCCAAAAATATCAATTAAAGGTATAGTGCAGGATGTTCTTTTTCTGGGTGGATCATTTAAATAATCAATCATTCTGGTGATATGTTTAGGTTTTCACTTACCGGTGATGAGTCTGACATAGTGGAAAGTAAGCTTGTATGAGCGATGCAAACAGCAACTTTTAAACAGAACACGCATGAGGAGAAATGGGCTTGTGCATGCTCTCCCACGCGTCTAATAGGGTTAAGCGGGTTAAGGGTTGTGCAGCGGCTTTTTTTTTAGGGTTGGTTGTCAAAATTCACAAAAATCCTCCACTATACATTTAACGTTTGTGATTGTATTTTGACAAAATGTGAAAAAGCTCAAGGGGTATGAATAAGTTCGCCAGGCATTGTAGTTATGTGTAATATCAAGGTAAATCTGTTTTATTTTAAACTAAAAAAACATCACTGAATTATTGCTACAGTCTGCCTAGAAACACATTAAAATCCAGTTAGATAAAACAGAATTAAGGAAATGTAGGAATAATGAAAAAAAAAGCAATAGGGTGCTCCAAGGAGTAGCATTTACATCATTTACACCGTCTCCGTCTTTTTAGTCACCACATCATACATCTCTGTTAAAATGTAATGACTGCAGTAGCTAACAGAGGAGCTCTGACATTCACACATTGCATCGGCCCGCTTTAGGACTGAAATGATCCCAATTCTGCAATCCTCCCTGTATACAGATTGCATTATTTTCTATAAAACAAACAGCTAGCTGCAGCCCACATTAACACTGTATTCTATAAGAAGGACGCAATAATTACAAGCATCATCCATAAGCATACGTTAAGAAAGTGTGCACATAGGGAGGCTTAACCAGACAACAAATAAAACGACATTTCATCCAGCAGTGTCAAACTCCAGTCATCGTGTGTCGGCTTTTGTTTTAACACACGTGAACTAATAATCAGCTCACTGAGGAGGATATTCAGCCATTTGATTGAGATTTGACCAGGGATATATCTAAAAGTTGCAGGACGCCTGCGCTGAGTTTGACGTTCCCGTTTTGTTCTTAGGAGAAATTACTTTGGAAGGAACATTTGTTAAAGAGCATTTGTTACATTCAGAGTGGTGGGCGTCTGATGAAAGTAGAGACCAAGTCTACTATTTCAACAGCTTCTGTGATTTCCACAGAATCATATATTGCACTGAGTTTTAATCAAAGCTCATACCTTATTCAAGATTTAATAAATATAATTGTCTTATTCAAAGATATGCAACAAATATTTTACCTTTATTGTCATTGTACCGGAATACACAGGTGCTTAGAGAAATACAGCTTAAACTGCGGCATATTAGCGACTATCTATCGTTCAGACAGTAAAGATATGCTTAAAAACTGGATAAAGTTTGAAATCAGAACCTTTTCATTGTTTTCTATGCAGGAAGGAACATGAACACTACTGATGTTCAGGGGTTCAGCGTAGGAAAAAATGTCCAATCTTCCATTTTCCTTCTTTTATTGATGCTGTGTCCACAGGTTTGTGTATGTTCAGCATACATTGGGTTTGAATCTGTATGTAAAAGGTTTCAGCTGCTGTAAGGTTCAGTCTCAGTTACACCTGTGAATGCATGTTACCAGGCCTGTGGGGAGGCCATTCGAGGGCTTCTAGGGCTCTTTGGGATTTCTGTCGTTTGTTGATCGCTCAGAGCTCTCTGCAGTGAAAAACAACAACAAAAAATTTAATTCAGTTATGTTTATATTTATGCATTTAGGAGACACTTTTATCCAAAGCGACTTATTTACATAGTTATAAGTTATTGTATGTACGGAGTATTTTAAAGATTAAATTTGTTATGCTTTAATTGGGATTCTAAGTTAAAGAGGACAATGAGTATTGCATGAAAAAAACTCATACTGGTCCAATTATTTGGAAAGAAAAATATGTTAAGTGTAGTGTGCATTTTTTGTTAGGAGGCTTAATTCAGTTCTTTGCAGAATCAACATTTGCTGCAGGTTAGGCTGCATTTTCTTATTTTTTTCTTTTCGCAGCTTTGCACATCTAGGGATTATGGTTTATGCAAACCATAAACCACAAACCATGTTCATTCAAAACCGCTAATTATCTAAAACATTGTATTGCAACTCAGACTGTATTTTAAGCCTTTTGCACTTATTATCCTTTTGTCCTTTATATGCAATTCAAACTAAATAAAAGGTGAAAATGTTCAAGTGGTGTTTATGCAAGCTATTTTACTTCATCTGAATATTGTATGTATTTAGACATATTTTTTCTGTTTTGAAATTCATGTTTCAAATTTAGCTTTTTGATATTTTTCCCATTCATAGGTTAGAAAGCTACAGGTTTTAGATTCATTATTTAGCAAAACAAAAAAAAAAGAAAATGAGAGAAATGACACCTTTAAGTTCAGATTTGAGAAAAAGAAGTGACTAGAGCTACATTTCTTACCTCAAACTTGTTCATAAACTCAGCAAATATACCAAAGAAAGCCTCTGTTGTTGTAGCTTTGCTATCTTCACCAAAGTATGAGGCTGTCTTGCTGAACTCTTCCATGGCTCTCTGTTGGAGCGATTCCAGGGACTGAATTGCTGGATGACTATTTTCCAAGAAGTTCTGCACACATTAATGTCAAAGAAGCAATGCATCTCATTTTACCAAGAAGATAATTATCATTCTTTTTGAAGGATACACTCATGACAACAGCAAAGCGATCCTCTGCAGTCGCAGGCATCTTCTGACAAGCTGAGCGGATATCCTGGATGGTCGCGTTTATGTCATTCACATCTGAAGTCACAGTCCTTTGGTTCACTGACAAGGTTTTTGGTGTAAAAATGTTATTTAGATCTCGTTTTTTCCTTTTACAAAATTACAATATCTGATGTGGTGTTTTACCTTTTGCTGCAAGCGGGACCATTGTAAGATCTTTGGAAAAATCCAACACTTCCGGAAAGTGTTGACACAAAGACTTAACCAGGATGTGCAGAAACGTCGACTTCCCATCAACAGTTTTAGTAGTGCTCAACTGAAAGAAAAATGAGAAGAATGTTTAATGGATAAGCGAAATTAGAAAAGATATAACAGGTCTATAACAAACAAAAATGTTTTGTTTTAGAATTACAGTACCTCTGTCAGAAAGTTGATCTTGAAGCCTGTGGTCTTGTTTGTTTTTGGTTGGCTGTTATTCAAATAATTTCCCATTGCCAGCACAAACTAAATGAAAGATTGATGCCATTAGGGAAAATTGATAAAGAAAATACCCTCTCAGCTACTCATAATAACTGAATATCCAAACTGTGCTTTACTGTTTTGATACTCTCCTTGAACTTTTTTTGCATTTAGCCACATTACAACCACAAAGCAAAGTATTGTATTGGGATTCCATAGCACAACTCAAAGTAGGACAGGATTGTAAAATGAAAGAGTTGTGAATCTAAAGATCTGAAAAGTCTGATTAGGATTTCCATTCAGCTCCATTTTTACTCAATAAAGTCATAAGATGCAGTGAAGCCATCTGAGCAAATAAACAGCTAATTAGTCAAACAATGAGGTTTGAAGTTGTAACATGAAAAACTTGGAAAATGTTTAAGAAAACATGTGAAACCCTTTGCAAGGCAATGTAAATTATTTCTTCGCTGTTCAGTATTTTTTCAGCTGACTAAATTATGAGGGTTTTCTTATGCAAAAAGTGTTTTACCAAAAGTTTCAAACCTATTTCCACATGCTTTCAGTTTTGATTAATTCGCCGGAAAAAAGGGGTACCTCTAGTATCTTAGCCAGTTTCTTGCTGGTCTTCAGCTCCATAGAGGCATTGATGATACAATCAAAGGCTCCCCTCAGCTCCTCCGTCTTCTCCTGAAGTGAACACTTGAAGAGGAGACTCTGCAGACGGGTGTTATACTCTGGTACAGACAACATCTGACAGACATCAACAATAACCCCCTGATCATCCACATGATAATGATGATGATTCTCTGCTCATTTACACCAGTACAAATGCAATAACAACAAAACAACGTGCCAGGCATGTACCTGGAGCATGAACTGGTCCGGCTCGCTGAGTTTGCTGGGGTCCTCTCTGTAATCTTTGTATTTTTTCACCTCCTCTGCATCAGGAGCGTACAGCAGAAGCTGTTTGATGTGGGCGGCTTCCAGTCTGTCTGCAGCCATGTTCATCAGTACCTGGCGGAGGTCCCCAGGAGAGAGCTTCAGGTGGGCTATCAGGATAGCTGTAAGATGACAAACAGAAAGCAAATCTAAAGTGAGAAGACTGTAAACGCTGATCCATAGAACACAACAACTAAACTTACAGGCATTGTAAGCCTTCTTATGGGACAGAATCTCTATAACATCTTTCTTCTTGAAGGTTTCCAGGTGCTGAGGAGGCTCTGGAGCAGACACTAGAAATTTTAAAGAAAAAAACATGTTGATTGATATTAAATAATTAGCATCTTGTGTCAGATTAAGATCCAGGAGTAAAAGTAAAGTCATTTCAAAGAAAATGTTTTAAAATGGTTAAGCTGGATAAATTTTAATCACTTTCACACAACTATAGTGTTATATCAGGCAGTTAGTCTGCTGGGAAAGACTTTGCATGTTACATTCTTAGGGGGTGTTTTCTCTTAGGAAGATTAATGGTGGTGCATCGCCTCATTACTCAGTTTCATCTTTATATAATCATTGGAATATATATACAAATAGCCAACCACTGAAAATGTGGTGATAGTCTAAACTTAGTGGCTAATAAGGAAATGTTTGCATAAACAACAACATAAATGGTGAAGAAATCTGATTTGGATTTGAGCACTCTAAGACTTCCAATAAGCTTTAAACTTCAATCTAGATTTTTATTAAATAGTAGATATTTAACTTACAAAGAAAAGAGTCAGAGCTATATATTAATATACCATAAACTAGGATAAAAGTTTAAGTAGATTCTTTAAGAAAGATACAAAAACAGCTAAATAGGTTAGAGATTTTGTGAAGGTTCTTTAAATACAAACTGTGGGGATATCAGCTGAACTAGGACTTGATCGATTGAGTTTATTGACTGACTTTATTGAGCTTACTGTGGAGAAATGTACTTGTTACATCAGCTCAATTGTCAAAAAGATGAAGAAGGTGCCAAAAGGAGGAAAATGTGCATGTGGAATATAAAGTATAGAATACTGGGAGAAGTCTGTAATTTTCATCGTAGATGTACACTTCAACTATGACAGACAAAATGAGAAAGAAACATCCAGGAAATCACATTGTAGGAGTTTTAAAGAATTTATTTGTAAATTATGGTGGAAAATAAGTATTTGGTCAGCCACAAACCAGCTAGATTTCTGGCTCTCACAGACCTGTAGCTTCTTCTTTAAGAAGCTCTTCTGTCCTCCACTCATTATTTGTATTATTGGCACCTGTTCGAACCCGTTATCTGTATAAAAGATATCTGTCCATAGCCTCAAATAGTCACACTTTAAACTCAACCATGGGTAAGACCAAAGGGCTGTCGAAGGACACAGGAAAAAAATTGTAGACATGCACCAGGCTGGGAAGAGTGAATCTACAATAGGCTTCGTGTGAAAAAAAAAAATCAAACGTTGGCGCAATTGTAAGAAAAAGGAAGTGTAATGAGGTCTTCATTACTAGGACTATTTTTTATGTAAATAACATGTATGTAAATGACTTGTAGCACGGGACCTTTGCACTTTATTAAAAAGCAGCTTGGTTAGCACTAGGACACTATTTAGCCCTGCACTTTAAGCATAGATTTGCACGTAAAGAACAATTTGCTCTCCATTAACAATTGGGGTGGTGGGAAAAGAGAATTGATGTTTAGAGCAAGCAAGGGTTACTTTTTAGAAACTTTAGCAAATGTTGGTGTAAAATCTGTGGTGAGCGCAGACGAAGTGGCATGGTGCTGGGAAAGTGACTTGCCTGTCTTTTCTGTGTTCTTTCCAGGTTGTTTTGACAAATGCTTCCCCAGGGTCCAAACACAATTAATAGGTTCCAGGAGAGACCATGCAAAATGTATGGGGAGCTGTGCACATAGCGTGTGGGATTTCTATGGAGTTTGGGTGTAAGTTTAAAACAGAAAATGTTCATTAAAAAAAGGTGAATGTGTGTGTTTTTTAGATGGAAGTGAGGAGTTAAATTTCATGGTAAAACCATTTCATGGTTTCATGGTAATGGTTTAGTCCATCAGCTGTGTCTATTTAAGGCAGAGATTGGATGTTTGATAGAAAGCTGCTGATGCTCTCACTTCAATTTGCCAGATAGTTTCATTTTCTCACTGGAAATCCAGCCGAGAGGTCGTATAGTGACAGAAAGACATACAAGACCACTGATAATCTCCCTCAATCTGGGGCAAAAGGCAAGATCTCATCCGGTGAGCAAAAATCCCAGAACTACACGGAGGGACCTGATGAATGACCTGCAGAGAGCTCGTAACAAAGGCTACCATGAGTAACACACTACACCAAGGGGGACTTCTTTCCTGCAGTGCCAGACATGTCCTCCTGCTCAAGCCAGTACATGTCCAGGCCCGCCTGAAGTTTGTCAGAGAGCACATGGATGATCAGAACAGGTTTGGGAGAACATCATGTGGTAGGAAGAATCCAAAATTTAACTTTTTGGTAAAAACCCAGCTCATTGTGGTTGGAGGAAGAAGAATGCATCCCAAGAACACCATACCTACTGTGAAGCATGGGGAAGGGAACATCATGCTTTGGGTCTGTTTGCGCAAAGGGGAGAGGAAAACTGATCTGTGAGGGAAGAATGAACAGAGCCATGTATCGTGAGATTTTAAGACAAAACCTCCTTCCATCACTCAGATCCTTGAAGATGAAACATGGCTGGATCTTCCAGCATGGGAATGATCCCAAACTCACCTTGTCAGTCTCCAGACCTCAAACCCAAAGAAAATTTGTGAAGGGAGTTGAAAGTCGATGTTGCCCAGCAACTGCCCCGAAACATTGTTGCTCTAGAGGAGTTATGCATGACGGAATGGGCCAAAATACCAGCTACAGTGTGTCCAAACCTGGTGAAGACTTGCAGGAAATGTTTGACCTCTGTCATTGACAATAAAGGTTATGTTACATAGTATTGAGTTGAACTGTACTTATTGACCAAATACTTATTTTTCACCTTAATTAAGAAATACTACCATGTGGTTTCCTGGATTTTTTATTTTTCTATTTTTTTTTTCGTCTCATAGTTAAAGTTTATCTATGATAAAAACCTCTCTCATTATTCTAAGTAGAAGAACTTGCACAATCACTGGCTGACTAAATACTTTTTGGCACCAGTGTATATGTATATATATGACAGGTGAAGTCTCTTATTTAGCAGGATAATTATACAGGGTATTAAAATGGGTATTTAAACAGAAGGGTATTATATGTATAGCTATTGGACTGGGTATCAAATATAAACAGGTTATTACACAGGGTAATAGTAATTGCACATTACATGTACATAATGTACCCACACTTACACATTAAGCACAATAAGATCATATTGCATGGACTCACATGAGCTCTTCTGTGTACCAAAGTGCAGCTCCAGGTCCAGATATTTCACCATGTCATGCAACTTTTCATAATCAGAAGTCTCTCCCAACTTCAAAAAGAAGATAAAGAAAAAAATCCCTGAATCCTTTAGTTTAATCCCCACACAAAAACAAAAATGGACTTGGAAACCGGATTGAGAAAAGGCCTGATATTTTATCCATTCTTAGTGCATTTTGAAAGGGTTCATACATCTTTGACTCCTATTGTTTTTCATGTTTTATCTACAAACTTTAGTGTATTTTAATGGGATTTTTTACACCACATTGAGCACATTTTAGATACATGTTTAAGTGTACCACCCTCCCTTCAATAGCCCTAAATAAAACTTTGTTAAAACAACTGCTTTCCAATGTGCATAAGCTTAAAGGGATATTGTGTAACCACTTCTTTTTTTACTGCCTGAAATCAATGACTACATTTACATACTATATGTGTTATTGTGATATTATTGGTGTATTATTACCCCCACTAATAATCAGATACGTTTTCATAAGCGAGGAACTTCGTATTACACAAAAGGCTGGTCACCAGTTAGGGAAGCACCGTAACAGTCTGCCATCTTGAAAGTAAAGAGCCTGGTGAGGGACAAAATAGTACTAACACGAATTAACAGCGCATTTCCCTTTTCTGGCAGATCAGTGTTATTGAGAAGCAGCGGGGAAATATCATTTTGAGATGCTAACACAACAACTGAAAGTCTGCACTACTACAGCACAATGCATTCCCATGTGCATGCAGCAGCAGCACAAAAAAAACGTTTCACCATCCCCAAGAAAATGAACTTAAAAGAGTACAGAACCCAAGACATTAAAAAAGACAATAAAAATTTCTCCTGGTGGAAAGACTAATGAAGGAGAAAGATTTTAAATTGCATGCTACAGTTTACATGTTTCTCCCTGAGAAGTAAGTGAACTGTACTGCCTAAATTAGAGCAAAGCTAAGTCTTTCTTTTCGGTTTAGTTGGAGATTGTTATTTTTACCATAGAAAGTATAACAGTAGACCCTGCAAAAAACAAAAAAACAAAAAAACATATCTTATTGGTACAGAATTGTAGGTTTACATGGGTTTAGTAGCTTTAGCCATGGTAAACACTGACTGTTTGCCACAGTAAATGCCAGAATGTAAGCATTCACTTCACTGACATGTCTGTGTTGTTGATTTTTGTCCTTTTCCTTTGCTTTACTCAAACATTTATTGGATGATATGGTTACATTTGCAACACGCTTTGACACATGGCAGGTACAGTCGCTGCAATACATGTTTAAGACGGTGACATGCAAGGGCAGAGGTTGGCAATTCTAGTACCTGAGGTCCGTTATCCAAAACTTTTAGATCCATCCTTGGTCCAACACATCTTAATTAAATGGCTGAGCCACCTCCTCAGTATGCAGCCAGTTCTTCCAGAGTCCTCTCAAGCATCTAATTACTTGATTCAGGTGTGTTGAACCAAAGGCACATCTAAAAGTGCAGGATACCACCCTCAGGAACTGGAATTGCCCACCCCTGTGCTAGGGTAAAGTGTTCATCTGAGTAAAATACCTCCATTATCCCACAATATCCCTTTAAGGTATTTTCTAAAAAATCAAACCTTCTACTGTGTAGATTAGTAAAACTAGTAACATAAAGCAGTAAAATATGTCTCCACAAAGCATTAACTATGGGAGGCAGATCTGTATTTTGGGAATAAAAACTGAAAACCCTTTTCCTTTACAATTGGGCAGAGCGTTATGGGCCATGATACATATAAGATCCCAATAAAATACTTTGAAATCAGTGCTTCTGATGTTACAAAATGTGGCCACGTTTAAGGGAAATTAAAACTTTTGCAAGCCTTTGAACAACTTGTTTGAACTTTTCTTTTTTTTTTTTAGAAACGTTTCTTAACTCACCTGTCCCCATATGGTTCCCTCTGAATTCTCAACCTGCTCCCAGCGCAGCCTCTTCACACTCATGTGGTGTGAGTCCATCCGAGACAGACTGGGTCTTGGCAGCGGTGGAGGGGAGCATGGGGGTGGAAGAGGTGGTGGAGGAGGTGGTCCCATATGCTCTGTGGGATCAGATAGGGAGTGAGGGAGGGACTGGGGCTGACTCTGGCTCTGAGATTGCTTGTGGTGAGTTTGGGCTTGATGCTGCTGTTGGGACTGCAGGAGGTGATGCGAGGGCTGAGACTGTGGACGGCCGGTTTGGGTGGCGGACTGGACATTATGCTGTGACTGATGGAGCTGGGGTAGGGGCTGGAAGGTGGAGCGGGTGGGTTGGTGAAGTTGGAGAGGTTGAAAAGTTGAGAGCAGTGGCTGTGGTCTATGTGGCTGCTGAGGAGGATGAATGACCTGAATGTGGTGTTGGTAGCTCTGGGGGGGAGGGGGCTGAGGGGTCATGTGGTGGATGTGGTGGATCTGAGGTGTACTGGAATGGTGGTGAGTCTGCTGGATGGAATGGGGTCTTTGAGGAGAAGGTTTAGTGGGCTGGGGTTGATGGATTTGTTGGATCTGCTGGTCTTTGTGTCTTCCTTGTAAGGACACATCTGTCTGATGATGGCCTTTGATACTCCTGCGACTCTGATGGGACTGGCTTTCACGTGTAAACTGGACTGGGAGGGAGGCAGGTTCCTGCTGAATTTCATTCAAAATTTCCGTGGAGGAGTGATGCGCCTTTGGTTGGAGCACTTGACCGGCTTGATGGAGGAGTTCTGTAGATGAGTGATGGGGCTTGTGTTCATAGACCTGATGGAGAAGCTCACTTGATGAATGATGGGCTTGGCCTCTGTGCATCTGGTGAGCCTGATGGAGAAGTTCGGTTGAGGAGTGGTGAGGCATCATTTGCTGCATTTGTTGAGATTGGTGTAACAGCTCAGCCGAGGAGTGATGGGCCTTGCCTTTGTGCATTTGGTGAAGCATTTCTGATGACGAGTAGTGAGCATGGGCCTGTTGCATTTGCTGAAGCATCTCAGTTGAGGAGTGGTGTGCCTGGGATTGGTGCAACTGATGGAGCATATCATTGGAGGAATGATGTGCTATACCTTGGTGGAGTATCTCTGTTGACGAATGATGAGGTTGGGGTCTCATGCCTTGATGACTTTGGTAAATTCCCTCTGCATACTGACCTTGCTGGCTAGGGCGGGCGGATTGGTGAGGGGAGGGCTGATGTGGTGGAGGCGCTGAACGAGACAACCGTCTGTGGTGTTGACTCTGGTGGGCCAGTTGCTGCTGCTGTACTTGTCGCATCATGTAAAGGGCATGGTTGGCATGTTGATGGGGGGTCTCTTGAGAGGGGAGCGGAGGCAATGACTGATGTAGTTGTTGGAGAGGAAGAGGTGAATGGGCTTTTTGTTGTGTTGGCTGAGCAGGCATAGACTGGTGACTTTGGTATATCTGCTGCATTTCTTCAAATGCTTGCCGCTCCTCATAAACTCGGCGCTCCTCAAAGGCCTTTTGCTCCTGGTAGGCTTGTAGCTCCTGTAGTGCCTTCTGTTCTTTGTAAGCTTGATGTTGTTCATGTACTTTTTGTTCCTGGTAAGACTGGTGCTGTTCATATGCTTGTCTGTCTTGGTAGGCTTTCTGCTCCTCATACATTTGCTGCTCCTCAAAAGCTTTTTGCTCCTCGTAAGCCTTCTGCTCTTCATAAGCTTGTCTCTCTTTTAAAATTTTCTCCTTAAAGGCCTGTTGTTCCTGATAAAGCTGTTGTTCCTCATAAGCCTTTTGCTCCTCATATGCTTGCCTCTCCTCGTAAGCTTGCTGTCTCTCCTGGTATGCTTTTAGCTCTTGTAAGGTGGCTCGGACCTGTAGATCTTCTCTTGTAGGGAGGACTTTATGCAAAGAGTGGCGTTTTGGTGGCAAATTACTACGTGGAGGTGGTGGTGGAGGGGGGCCAGATTTCCGTCGGATTGGCACATATGCCCTTGGCATGTGCTCAGGAGTGTAGGTAGTAGATTCCTGCTCTGGCTTGTGTTGAGGCTGACTTTGTGGAGGTGCTGGAGGAGGAGGGGGTGGGTCATTGAACTGAACAGGCGGAGGTGGAGGTGGTGTCATAGGGGGAGGAGGAATGTGATCAGAAGAAGAGGAATATGTGAGAGAGGATGCGTTCTCTTCACCGCTGCTGCTTTGGACGTCACTCGGACTGCTCAGCTCTGGAGCCACAAAGCCTCCATTTTCTTCCTCATCCACACCGAGCTCATCTTCATTATCTTCATCGTCTTCATCTGGGAATCCCATCTGCACAACATCCTGACATTAACACCAAGTACATACCATTAGACCTTTAAATTCAGAGTGAAACCTGTGGAAAACTTGAAACAAAAACAGAACTGGCAACTTTCTCTCACTATGTCTTAACATTGAATATAGTACATTTCTGATTAAGTAATGTAGTTTATAGTTCCAATAGATGTTCTCTAAAGTTACTAAACATTTGTACATATCAATTGAAGCATCTCCAGTAATCCGTGTAATTGTGCCCTCTATAATTATTCAAACTACCTTTTATAAAGGTAACAAGATTAAAGCATAAAGCCTGTTAACATGGTACCATGAAATTATGAAACCCTTTATGAAGAAATCATACCTACCTTTTAGTAGTTAAGTACTTTTTAATGTCAGATTCATTACTTTATTTAGTGGTAATTTTAGCCTTTCAAATTTTGCTTAATCTTTATATTTGTGGGTAAAGGCGGTATGCCCCAATTTTCATTTGGAGACAAATTAGACACGAGTTGAAACATATTACTGGTTAGTTAAGTATCTCATTTCATTAATCTACTATTAATTCATCACTGAAAAAGATGCCATTTTCTGTTTCTTGTGTTGAATACCTCTTCGTAGTCATTGTCAGGGTTCAGGAAGTCATCAACAATCGCAACCCTCTGTCCCAGCTGCTCGCTCAGAGCGTCCAGAAAGCGATCTGTGTCTTCTGAACGGGGAGGTTTGGAGAAGGTGTACCGCCGTTTGTTGCTGCGGTGAACAGGTGGGCTGGACGGGAAGTCTGTTTCCAGAGGTGAAGTAGGAGGGCTGTCCAGGCTTATGTAGGGATTAGACTCTCCACTGTTCTGGCTCGTCAAGCCTGGTTGGTAAAACTGGGATGAAGGTGGACTGGGAAGAGGATCTGGCCATGAAGAATGAGGGGAGGAGCCTTTTCGTCCCCCTGAGATAAATAATTATTATTGATATAGACACTGAGAGCTTATCATTAAAGGTATAGTGGAGGATTTTCACAAATATTTGAAAAGACCCGCCCTTTTTCCTCATGCATGCTCTGTTTGAAAGTTGCTGTTTGCATCACTCAAACAAGCTTACTTTCCACATGAAGATTTTCAATTCTTCCACTATGTCAGACTCACCACTGGTAAGTGAAAATGGGGATAAGCGCGTAGGACGGCCTTACATAAACATATCCCCAGAATGATCGACAGTTAAGAGGATCACTTAATTTGATGATCAACCCATAAAAAGAACATCCTCCACCATACCATAACTACATTGGCTTTATTGGATTCAAAAATTAGTTACTTTATTCATGTATGTAATTTACGCTATCTTTTCTTGGACCAAATTACAAATATACATTTTATTTACCTGTGTTAGCAATCGACATAGGAGACCCTGTGCGCGATAAAGGTTCCAGGTCCAGCAAACTCTCAGTAGCAGGAGGAGGGCGACCTTTTAAAGACTTGGACCTCTTGGCTGAGTACATATTTTCCAATTCAGCATACACAGCTGACAGCTTTTAACAAGAAAAATACACACAAACCGTTATAAGACCGTTTCAACAAATATTAAACAGTGTATATTCTTAATACAATTTGGCAGTGCTGCATACATTTGTTAGATTGTTGGGAGTCTCAGGAAGAGATGTTCCATCTCCTGACTGCCTTTCTCCTGGAGCCAACCTCATAGTCTCCAGTCCTTGCTCTGCACGGACACCTATGTTCATACAATAACTTTATACATACCGTGGTTTTAAAATATACTTTGGTAGATGTTGAACCATTTCAGCAAAACATCGTAGATGATAGAGTCTCTAATTGTTAGCCAAAACATTTATTAAACCATAAAAGATTCAAATATAACTGAAAACAATGGTAACTATGGAGCTAAATAAGCCACCACGATCATGTAAAAGATCAACATTAGATAATAAAACTCAGCATGCAGTCTTCTTAAGTCCACATTTGCCATCAGATTTGGTAATTTTGTTTGCCCTAAAATGTAGTTGGGCTGCCATAATTGGAATGTCCTGCTTAGCTGCATACATTTCACCATCTTAATGTGGTGTGGAGCTTCAATACCTCAATGATCTTTTTAAATGTCTTTGCCCCCCAGTAGAGCATAACTATTATTGCGTGGCCAGAAAGTTTGCTTATGCTGTGGCTGCAGAGGTGTCCTGAATGTCAGAAGAACTTGGATAAACCATGGAGATGTGGCTTTTAGCCAGAGTATCCCAAGCTGTAGGCCCCCTCTGAGGGTATTTCTGCCAAAACTCATTTTAATCATATCCTTAATCTCCTCTCCATTTCCTTCTAAGAGGAGGGAAATTATTTTAGACAGTAGAATCAGTAGTTATGCTATATCAAAACTGACATCCAGATTGACTCCCTTCTAAGAAGACTGAATGCTTTAAATAAATTAAAAAGGTGTTTCAACAAAATATGGTTTTAAGGGTGTGTACACCAACCAGGTCATTGTGCAATTCAAGTGTTTGTATCTGCTGCCCTTAAGAATTTAGCTTTGAAGTTAAAGTGTAGATTACATGAATAACATTAATGGTGATACAAGTTTTGAAACGACTTCTCATAATATCTTTGATGTCGCACATACCTGACATTTTGCACATTTTACATTTAAAGATTATGAGAGTGAGTCTGACACTGCTTGTGGTCTCAAGTGTTAGTTTTGTTCCTGATGCAGAGATATCAAATTTCAGTACCCATTCCCAAGTGTGTGCCAATGACCAGGTCATCAGAGCTACGTCCCCTAACACTACTCCTGTATGTGGTCCCTGTCACCCTCATGGAACTGCTACGGCGGTGGGGCTCAGGGGCAGCAGACTCAGGCTCCGGAGGAGGAGGGGGAGGAGGAGGAGGTGGTGGAACTGAAAAACACATACAGGTCATGCAGAGGAAGAGGAAACAACGTTTGCAGGATCACAGCAGTTCAGCATATCATTGATTTACCTCCAGATAACCAAGAGACTCTGAAAAAAGAGTCTATTTGAGCCAATATCCAGTGAAATATTACAATAAATGTGCACAAACCTGGTGCTTTATATCCAAGAAATCGAGAAATTTTGTTCTGGCAGTGTTCCTGTTCTTCATAGGTCAGCAGCTGGTAAACAAACTGCCAGATCACCTGTTTGGCTGGAGTATCAAGCACTGGGAACACATCCACAATCAGCGTGTCGACGTTCCTGTAACCAAGGAAATACAGGCAGGGTGACAGAGGTGTCCTGGCTGTCAAGCCAGAGGTCCAACACTGATTTGGAAAAAAAGTGTAGGTTAAACTCAGGGACTACCCTGCAGACATGTGATCTAAACCATACAGAACAAACATGAGTGGTATAAGATTTTTTAAACGTCTGCTTTAATCTGATTTAATCAATACATCCTAACTTTTGATTTGTGTAAAAATGTTAATAAAGTATGACAATACTTACCTGTCGCATACAATTTTAAATAATAAGGGATCTAAGAAGTTCAATTTTAGTACAATCTTTAAAAAAAAGTGAGACAACGAACAACATCAAAGTTGAAGTAAAAATCTATTTTACTATATTTACAACAAAATAAGAAGAAACTAGAACAATAAAATATCTTTCAAGATCTCTGGACCAAGTCTAAAAAGCCTGACTTTCCTTAATATGATGATTGTATAAATATCATCAAACAGAAATATAAAATCAAATAAAAACAAAAGTATTTATCAAATATATAATATAATAATATAACAAAAAATGAAAAATATAAATTATAAATAATATGAAAGGAAATACGAAAAAGGTTTGTTTTAATAAATGTTTTTGTCCAACAAATGTTTGTGTTTTTTTATTTCTGTTTTGTCTTTTTACTTATTTGTACCACAAGTTGCAGTTTTCTACACTCTGGGTCCACAGCTAAACCCCCTGAGCATCTCTTAACCTCTAACTCTAGCATTCATGACAACATCTATTTCAGTTTTATTATTTGATGTGGTGGATCACTTGACCCTATTTATCTAGTTACTTTCCACTCTTCCTCCTCCTCCTGATTCTTACAGCTCACCTGTGCTGAAAGAAGTTCTCCAAAGCCTTGCAGATGGTATACCTCTCCTGGATGGTAAGCAGATGTTCCAGCTGTTGTCCAAAGGTGCGCCCCTGAACCCTGATGCTGGGTGGCAGGATGTCAGCCACCCACTGCAGAGAGACGAGCACCGGAGAGCGTGCCCGGTCTGTGGAAACGCCGCCCCCGGCAAGGTCCTGCTCGGCCAGGGGAAAAGTAGGCGGGCCTTCCTCCACTACCAGGGTTGGCATGGCTCCACTTCCTTGGAGCATGGACACAACTTTTTCATGAGAAGAGGTCCTGCAATTCGAACAAAATGTACACAAAACAAAGTGCAATGCAGAAACATTAAAAAAACTGCTTTTGACTTGGATATGGAGAGAAAACAGAAAAAGAACACACTATTCACTGAAAAAGCAGCAGATCCTTTTATGCTTTATTCTTGAAATAGCTACTGAGTTGTGACATGCTCTGTACTCACAGAAGACAAACACTTCTACATTCTTTTATCCATGTCCTTTTCATCCCTTGTCTTTAAAGTTAAGCTATTTTTAGACAAAAATGGAAATATGCAGTGTGGTAGCTGTTGGACCCACAAACAGACACTCTAACAGCCAGACATGTTAAGATGTTTAACATAGTTTATCTTATGTGGCATAATTAGCTCAGTTTGAAGGAAAATATGTAAAAATATATATACGATCAACTTAATCAGGAAGCTAACCTCATGTCCAGTCCATTCAAGAAAAGGATCCGATCTCCTGGTTTTAAACCTGCCTTGTCTGCAGGGCTCCCTGCAGAGCAGCAAGAATAGAGCAGGGATAACATTTCACAATGATCACTGCTTAGCAGATGTGTAGCGTCATAAATATGTAACGAATTTCTGTTTACTGGTGTTGCAGTTAAAAAGAAAACCCAAAACAAACACAAAAAAAACATACAAAAACTTACCAGGGATGATTGAGTCAATCCACACTGGAGCATGGCCTCTGAGGGTGAAGCCAAAACTCATGTTGCCCTTACAGACTCTCACTGTCCTGCAGAGACAGATTTCAGGTTATATTAAAAAAACAGTGACTTCAAATGCAAAGACTGAAAAAGAAATGAATAAATAACAATATAATGATGATGTTTGGAATATGTCATTATAGACATAAAAAAGATGTTTCAATGGGTTGAGATTTTAATCAATGCACCTATTTGTATCCGCCTTTGGTAACAGTTAGCATTCTGACTCTCAGGGGAAATGCGAGGGGTTTAGAGTCAGCTGCTGCTTGGTGAAACTTAGGCCCAAAATTGTTTATCTACAACCATAGCTCTACCTACAGCAGAACAAGGTATCTATTTAGGTTTGCTCGGCTTCATTGGGTTTGTTTGTTGCACTCCATATATTAATTATCCTTTCATACACTGATTAACTGATACTTGCATCTTATATTTCTAATTAGTTTTGGTATATATTTGGCTATAGTCTGTATTTTTGCCATTTTAACATTGGCAGATTTTCACCAGAGTTTGGGAGGATGTACTTCCCCTGGTGGAGAAGTTTAAAAATCTTGGGGTCTGTTCTCTGTTCTCCCACCAGGAGGAGGCCCAGGGGCAGAAGAGGATGGATGGATGGATGGATGGATGGATGGATGGATGGATGGATGGATGGATGGATGGATGGATGGATGGATGGATGGATGGATGGATGGATGGATGGATGGATGGATGGATGGATGGATGGACAAGTATAGCTTGAGTTAGCTGGTCTGGCCTTGATTACAGCCTGATTAACTGTTGTAACTTTATTCCAGCTGAGTGTGCAAACATTCCTCCCTCACCGATTTCCCATAAGAACCAAATTGTTACTTGATACAGACCTGCAGTTGGTGGTGGTGCCACCAGAGTGGCCAGCTATGAGGGAGGTGGTCTTGCGCATGCCTCTGGCAGGTGGCACCACGCCTTCCTCTGCGTGGGTGCGTGGCACTGAGCTGGCCCTGGTGGAGACGAGCAGACGCTCGGGGTGGTCCTCGCTCCTGCTGCGGCGGAGGTGGCTACGGCTGGGGTCGCTGAAGCTGCGGCCCTTCAGTCTGCTCATCAAGCTCTGAGAGACAACCTCGTCGAAACGCTCCCGGTGCTTTTTGGGAATGAAGATCCTGGCCAACATTGCGGAAACACGTAATAAAAAAAAAAAAAATCAAACTGAGAACAAAAGCTTAAAATGATAACATGTCAACATTTCAACACAAATCCCTTCTAAAGTTTGAGTTATTGCTTCCAAATTTCTTCAGGTCTCCACCGGAAAACAAATAGTCCATTTGCTTTATAGAAGGACAGAAACAAGTTGAAGAAAACTAGTCCAATATTTAAATAAGAGTTATCATGCTTGCGTGCGATGAGCACAGCAGCTGTAGGTAAAAGTGTTCAGAATCAGTACAGCTCACTGCTACTAATCCAGAAAAGGAGGGAGCTGAGTGTAAGAACACCTCTGGGAGAAAGCACTCCACTCCGCAACGGATGGTATTTTTTTCTACTCTTATAATTCAACATATTGCTCCTTTTAAAGCAAAGAAAACTAATAACTGAAGCAATACCAGTGCATTTTAGCCTGTGATAATTGGTGTGTTGAACAATGCTTCTGTAAACCGGCTCATAGTGCATTTTCTGTGCAGCAGAAGTTAATTTATTCAAATAAGAAAGTTGCCTAGATTGGAAAAAGACAAGAGGGGTTTGCATCTGATTACTCCAATGCAGAACAAAATAGATATACTTTTCAAATCCCTTTTATGACATTTTACTTCCTGCAGGAGAATTCCTCATCTCCAATCAGTTAGGATAAAGAAAAGTTCCTTGCATAGAGAATGTGTTTTTTTCCCTTATCTTCAAGAGCATTAACAGCATATAAAAAAAGTAAAAGGCACAATTTTAATGAGTGGTCAAAAATCCTTAATTTCCATCTCAACTGCGTAATGGTGCTAGCTCACTCATCAATATATCTCTTGTTTTTGTGTCTTAGGAGTTTCTGCTGTGCAGAGGAGGGAGAGAAAGCCTTTGGTTTCACGGAGTGCATCATTTCCGAGATGCCACCATCATACATAGGACGACTTATCATTCAGGTTGAGCAGTGAAGTGAATTAAATGAATTAAATATCTTCTCTGTACAGATTGTGCCAATTCTAAGCCTGATCAGCTCTGACAAGTAACTATCATAACTGTCTAAATGTAAAAAATCTGGGGCCTCATTTATAAAGCATTGCATGGAATCCATATTGATTTTTAAAAACATGTGCATGCATAAAATTTAAGCAATTTGTACCACAGAGTTTGCATCCAAGGCGCCACCTCATGTTCGGCCCCCTGGACGCCCACATTCAACCATAATTGCTTTATGCAAAGCACCACTGATCAATATTATTTAATGATTACCAATGGCAATCAGACAGAGCAAAAAAAGCACAGTTTAACCGAGGCATTGGTAAGTAAAGTGGAACGTTAGATAAAGATATTTGGTAGTCACCGTAACAGGAAGTGACACCGACAGAGTCTGATTTATGGACTGGACATTATGGATAAATTCAGAGAATAATTTTGTTCCTCAAAGAGTGTTCAGACAAATAACCCCCTAACTCTACCCTAGTCAATATTTGCTGATTATGTTGGAAACTTGTAAGGAAATCTGCACTGGTAAAAGCTGTAATTAAAAAAATATGGGAAAGCAGTACCAATCTACATCACTGTGATAAGCAAAAACTGGTTGAAAAGACATTTAAAAGAGAACATGATTTACATAGAAACAATGTCTACATTTGGTTGAAAAGTGAAAGGTGAAAAGCAGTAGTTTTCAGATCATTGAAAAGACTTTGAAAACTGGGTTTGAATGGTCTTTTCAGTGTCTTTTATTGGACTTAAGTGGGACAAAATCAGACTGACCAGATACAGCCCAATTTTCAACAACTATTTCTGGACAAAATCAATATTACGATGGACCGACCAAAAGTGGCCTAAACACCACCATCTAAATGACGTCTGGTGTTTGCGGGGAAATTCACCTAAAAAGACTTTATTGGAGGAAAATAACAGAGGCAGATGAGTCAAAATTTGAAAGTAAATCCTTCCCAATTACAAACATTTAGGGATTTTTTTTACAAGACTGAGTCCTGGTCAAAATATGCTATCATGTTACATACTAAGTAAAGAAAAATGAATGCTGATTTTAAATCAAACAGTGCTTCAACAGTCTTAGCTAAAGGCTATGAACACATGAACCACAAATTCATCATTTTCATCTGTCATATTATATATCGAAATTATACATTGTCAAACCTTTCACACCACTCAAAACTGAGAGCCACTATGTATTTGAATCCAGTCAATTTCAGTGCTAAATATAACTTCCGACATAATGCTATAATTTTTTTCCAACCATAGACCATTCAAACTCAACTTGCACATCACATACACTTTCTAAAAGCACATACTCCTTTTCAAGTATTGCAACATATCCATAGAAAATACATAGTTTGGCAGCAATGCTAAAGTGTTTTTCTCTTTTCCAATCTGAGGACCCATTGCAACAAATGCAATCTTTAAAGGGAATCCTTAAATAACTGCTGATTCACAAGGGGGTATTTTGCTGGCTGACTGACACCTACCTTCTCCCTATAGCCTCACTCAACAGCAGAAATGCTTAAAATAATACATAAAGAAAACAGTTTGTAGGATGTACTCTACAGTATTTGCTGTTTTATAATCACAAGACTGTGTTCTCTGTTGCATTCAAGCAAAACCATGTAGATTGCAAACTACTGGGAGATTGCGTATAAGTAGGTGACAGTGATTAAATGCTTTGTGCATTCTTTCAGGAAACACAGTCAACATTTTCCTAACGGGATAGTCATCAGCCACACCATGCTGCAAAGTTATCTTCATGCCCTGTTTTTATGTAATATCAGGATGACGTCTTAATCTCAGTGACAGACGCAGATAACCACAGGCTGCAGAATCTAAAGGAGGCATGAGGACAGAAAGAGAGAGGGCACAGAACTAGAGCTCTTTCTAGGACGGGGTCATGTAGCTATTTGAAATGAATCTGTGCCGTCTGTAGTTTACAGTTTATGTAGGCCATATAACTTCCCTGAAAAACACTCACATCCCCGATGATTTTTTACTGGCCAGGGCTGGAAAGTGAAGGAGCCCACTGAACATTGTTCTATATTTTGTGCATCAAAATGGTAAGGGATGAAGTTGGATGGCTGGTTGGTAGCACTTTCTTAGGTTCTATGTTAAATCATTATCACATCTTATAAACTCTGGACTCATATTTCCCTATCAATACATTTCTATTATCTTTTTCAAGAAGCATAAAACTACATCCCAGAACATCTACAGTGCATACAGAGAGTGCACTTCTTCCACAGTTAGTCATGTTACAATTCAATTCCTGATGGTATTAAATTAACACACAATATGCTGTCATGTCAATGTCAAAAAGGATTTGGATGTTGTTGCTAATTTATTAAGAAAATAAATGTACCTTGTTTATCCAACTCTGGTAGGAATTCCAGCCTTAGGTCTTCTTGTAGAATATGCTAAAAGGTAGCTCACCTATCTGTGGATAGTTTTACCCATTCTTCTTTGCAGTAAATCTCAAGCTCCTTCAAGTTGAGTAGGAGATATGCGTGCAACAGCCATTTTCAGTTATTTCCAGACGTTTAAAAAAATCAGGTCTAAATGGCTTGGTATCTACAGGACATTCAGTGGTTTTAAAACAACTTCTTTAAGATCAATTGCTCTGGAGCAAGTTTTTATACAGGGTATCTTTGTACTTTGCTGCATTCATCTTTCCCTTTTACCCAGAGGTGCAAAACTCATCTTTGTATCTGGTCATGTCAGCATGAACATTCCTTAAAATTTGGTAAATTTCAGTTGTATAAATGAAACTTTTTAAATCATTATTCTATTTATTCTGCTCTGTTATAATAATGTTACCCTCACTTATTTAGCAGTTTTAGCCATCATAGGTTTTATGACATCATTATCTTTTTTTTCCCTTGAGCGCTGAATAATTCAGGCTAGATTCAACCCACGGGCCTTAAGTTAGAGACATATGCTCTAGCATGACTATTCTGCTGGTTCCTGCTACTGAAAAACGTCCCCATAACATGATGCCCCCACTACTATGCTTGACTGTAGGGATAGTGATGGCTTGGTGATAAACTGGTTGCCTTCAAACATGAGAGTTCAATTAGGTGCCTTTTTGCAAAACAGGAGATAAGCTCTCCCTTGTGCTTTCATGAAGGAGTGGCTTTCATCTGGCTGCTCTTTCACACAGGCCTGATTGGTGGATTGCTGCAGAGATAGTTAAGGTAAGTTATCCTCTGATCACAGAAGATAGCTCTGACAGAGTTACAATGGGGTTCTTTGTCACCTCCCTCACTAAGGTTCTTCTTCCCTGATGGCTCAGTTTAAATGGATGGCTCGATCAAGGAATTGTCCTGCTAGTTCCAAGCTACCTCCATTTACCAATTATGGAGGCCACTAGGCTTATTGGAAACCTTTAAAGCACTAGAAATGTTTCTGTATCCCTCTGCAGATCTGTGCTTCAGGCTAATCCTGTGTCTGAGGTCCACAGACCATTTCTTTGACTCCATGCTTATTGTTTACTTTCTGTTATCCGCTGTCAACCATATATAGAAAAAAAGTGTTCCTTTACCTAAAGGTGGACTCCATGCTGTAGAAACCTCTTAAGGACAATCTGTGGAAAACTATGCAATTTTGAACGTGCTGGTTAAGGCTGTGAATACTTTCATAAATGTGATGTTTAAACTCTACTCTATGATGTGAATATACAGAAACTATCGCCCCTACAGCTATAGTCACAGCTGGTGAAGATAAGCTAAAAACATGAAGAAAAGAACCTGTCGTGAAAATGTACGTTTATGTTAATAACCTGTTAAGTGACCTGCAGAAACAGAACACAGGTTATAACCTCCTCTAAACAATGTAGGAAGATATAAGTGATGGTCTAGGATAGACCATCTATTTGCTTCCATGTTGTCTATACTCCAACATTACAAAATGTTAAATGATAAGAAAAAATACTGTTGTACTTTCAAAAAGGGTGTGCAGGATATTTTAGAAGCAGAGGTGCTAAGAA